TGGGATGAACAAAATCCGTCATTATATGTTTATGTCATATAAGTGCAAAACTACAATGATATGCAAAACGGATATGTTGTTGGATTGACTTTACTTCTCTTAACGAAACCGAGTTCGATGACATAGATCTACACATATGATACATATATATATATATATATATATATCACAAATTAGTTTACATGCATATATATATATGTATATATAAAGTTGGTGCACTGTAAACAATTTCACTTTAAACATTAGTTACCCGACCACAACAGCTTATAAGTTGGGAGATTTCTTTTATTTATTTTTTTTTTTTTTTCTTCTTCTTAACTTTCATACGCTTTTCAAACATTTTGCCTAATATGCAGAGGTGAAAAGTTTAAGCTTAAAAATTTTATTTACATTTGTAGGTAAGAAAGCCTTTAAATTATCAACGATGTATTTAAGTGTGTATAGAATTACGCATTTCGCCTAAGTATTATTAACATTTATAGCAGCCACTAAGGAAGAAGTTTCTGGCCAGGCTGTCCTCAATACGTCGATCAATAATTTCGTAAAATGACGTACATTTATCATCACCATTGTCGAATGCGTATAATATGTTTATGGTGCCAGCCGCCAAACGAAGCTTAAAAAGTCATAAAGAGAAAGCGTAATAATCATTCTACATGCGTACGTCATCGTACGAACTTATTGAGTGATGTGTTATAACATGCATGCCACAAAAAAGATATTAGGCGCAGTAACAAATCGGCATAAAACTTACGCATATATTGCAAGGAAAAAGATTAATTGTTAAAGCCATGCTTACCGAAATCTTGTGAGCTGGTTTGTGGTGCGGATAGAACATCGCCGGAAAGGGTCGAGCCATTATTGCCAAAGGTAACAGATTAGCAAGTAAAAGATACGTTTTGCGTCATTATCTGCGTGAAAACATTTTCATTTTCAATTTTCACACGATCCTTGAAATATGTATCGGCTCTTGATAAAGAATGATATAAGAAAATGACTCCTTGGAGAGTAGTTTTACTCTTCCAGTTTTCTTTGCTTGCTTTTCGCCGACCATTTCCGATATTCCAAATTTATATGTGGATATAATCTAATCTATGTATAAGATAAACTTTAGCTTTCGAATCTCTCCTACTTGTCTGAAGTATGTCTACTACTAGCAATTCGGGGCGAACTTGCTTTCCTAGAGCCAAAGTCGGTTATGAAATCAAAATTAATTAGCTGTCTTGCGTCTTTCTACCGACAGGAACCTGCCGAATCTTGGGGGGCTTTTAGTGTTGCACTCATCCAACAAACGGTAATGGAGTCTTAGTAGCAGTAGTATCAGGCCGCGTGCTAAATTAATTCCAAGTCTGCATAGTCTCTGCATATTTGCCTTAAGTATATCTTATAAAATTTTGTACATTTTTTATCAAAACTAATTATAGTATTTAACATTTTAAATAACATTAATTATTTAGGTTCGAAAATACTTCCAAGAACTTGTGAGCCGAATGTTTTATTCAGCATTTGTAGGTTTTGCAAGAAATTTACAAAGAGAATATAATAATAATATGTTGTTGTATTTATGAACAACCTCCGCCATAATTACAAGTAGGTAAACATTAAGTTCATATTGTAGGAAACCTGATTATGCTGTGCATATGCACTTACGTGCATCCATATATACATACATGCATACATGCATACATACATACATAGATATGTAGGGAAAATTTAGAAGGTAACTATATACTAACACATGGAGTATGCCAAGCAATTTAGATAAACAACGTAGATAAATCACATTGCAGTCATTATATTTGTGCTGTAACAGGGCAAATGGTGCGTGTGTATATGTAAATGGGCATGTCTTTGCCTTCGTGTATATTTGCTTGCATTGATAACCACAAAGAGATGGGTGTGCATTTGTGTGTGAGACTAATACGATAACATCAACATGACAGCAACTATTAGGCGCCTAATATTGCACTTCATCAATATCGGCTACAAATGACAGTCAATCTTAAAAGCTTTCAATGTAAACAGCAGACTGCTAAATGGCAAAAATACCAATGAAGCAAAAAACAAATCCAAGCCAACTTACTTTTATGCTCAATCTACTTTTGATGGCCGTCAGATATGAAACCGGAACGCTTATGCATTTCTCTCAAGTGACAAACGAACCGGATTGAAATTAAAATTTTTCCACATACACTTAACTTATGGGAAAATAATGTTCTTTTTGTTTTTTATGTTATAAGCAAAAGCAAAATAATCATAATTTTAATCCAAGTTAAATGTTAGTGTTACCTGTAGTCGGCAGTTGCCTTCGAAACTACCATAAGATGACTTCCTCCTAATGCGGATTCCTTCCGTTACCCTTTTGCAAAGCATATAGTTTGCTGGTCGTAAATTAGCTAAGGTAACAAACACTTTTCTCATATTCAACTGATATGAAGTAATACGATCTCTTATTTTCTAGAAAGACGAACGTGACCGGTTAGAACATTACAGTAGACTACATTATGCAATGAGGCATCAATTCGTGACAGTATTCTCAGTATTCTAAAGCTCTGTTGAGAAATATCATCGTTAAGTCGTTCAAATGAAATATGAAAATAATTTAGAACAAAAGCAGCAAAAAGAAGATGCGACATTTCCTCTAAGAACAAATGATCGTAATTGAAAATAATTCTGGCTGAGGTAACAAATTGGTGAAATGCTAACCCCTTCCAAGGTTTGCTGAAGAGATATATACCTGACACTTAGCCAACATTTTAGCTCAGAACAACTTGCGTGTCTATTACAGGAATACCTCGGTCGAAATAATTGCTCTATGCACTGTGCGAGGGACGTATAAAGCATTTTAGATGGAACATGAAATCGAAATTCGATTCACGCAATTTCGTTACTGTGGCCACTGGCCTAAGATTTTATGCATTCGTTCCACAGTAAGCAAACACGGCACGCAATATGCGCCCAGCTTTCTCACATCGACGAACTTGCACCACCATTTGGTGAACTTGAGCAATGTTTTCGTCCAACTTTGTCCGAACTTTGATCATCCGCCAAGTTAGTACGGGTACACTTCTGTTCATTTACCCAAAAATTTAATTCTCTCAAATAATGACAGGGAGTTCAATTCGTCTTTAATACGTGTGGACGTATTGCCTTTCAAAGAGAAATGTTTTATGGCAAACAATGATTCTTATTCTTTTGGATGTTCCTTGAACACTGGCACCAAGCCGCTTCAAATGAATATCGAAAAATAAATGCGTTTTCGAACTTTGCTGTAATTATGGCGAGTACTTACTAATGCATGCATAAACGTGTTATCGTCTTCATCTTCAATCGGTTAGTGCGACTTCAGCCAATCATTTTTAACTGGTACTGTTAGCCTGTAAAACGATTCGTTATTATCGTATCGAATATAATTTCAAATATATGTGACATGTAGGATACGATATGGAATCGATAAATCGCATCAATATACTCGCGTCTTCTTCTTTTTTTCTGTTTTTTTTTTTTTAAGATATGACCAATCATTTGCAGGATTAGGAGATAACGCGTGTGGCGCGGCAATGGTTAGGAAGAAGTGTGAAAACATGGAAGGAGATATGAAGCGACCGCTGCCAAGTGGCAGTCATATCGTGCAATCAAGTATCGTGTACCAGCAAGCAGCAAGACTAGCGTATTAAAAAGAAATATGTATCGAAAAGTTTTTCTTCCTTTCAATTGTAACTTTATTTTCTCTTCTTCTTCTTTTTCGCTTTTCGTTTTAAATACATTTTCCTGAGGAAATTTTGTTCATTTAATTTCCATTTCATTGAGAATTTCAGAAAATATTTCACTCTTTCTTACTTTAGATGTGTTTATGTATTATATATATATATATATATATATATATATGTATGTGCGTATGATACTTTTCAACTGAAACTCATTCATTCATTTGCAATATTTTCTTGACTAACAGAATTTGGGCATTATGCCAATTACTTGGGAATGCGTTGTACGGCACGTACACAGAGATCTATATACGAAAAGATGAAAGTTGTTGTACTAACAATTAAATAGAAATTGAAAGTTTATTCAAGATGTTATGTATATGCAAGCAAACATAAATGAATACAAACGGAACTTAATGTGCTACACTACTAAAGTGCTAGCGACTATAGCCACTTTAGCTAAATTGTTAAGAGTTCTTTTATCCATAACTTATCGTTACTATTGATATATATGTATGTATGTATGTAT